GGAGTTGGGTGTTCGCCTGCATTTGTTCAAAATGCTGTTCTCGCTGAGGCGCCGGCCTCATTTTCGGGCCCCGCTCGTTCCGAATCGTGCTCCCGCTGCAGCGCTGGCCTCATTTCCGTGCTTCCGCTCGTTCCGAATCGTGCTCCCGCTGCAGCGCTGGCCTCATTTCCGCGCTTCCGCTCGTTTCGACTCGTGTTCCCGCTGCAGCGCTGGCGTCATTTCCCGTGCCATGCCACGGCGTGCAATGCAATGCTAGGTTGATACTACGCTTTGTGGTGCTCTTCTACGCCATGCCATGCCGTGCTCTACAATGCATCGCGTACCCTTTCGGGATCATTGCCCTGCTCGACATCCGACTGTGCGAGTAGTAAGGGATGGGAGGGATGGGAGGGAGGGGTAGGATGTCAGATATGACGCGAGCGCACCTAGCTTGTCCTCCCACCCTCCTCCCCCTCCTCCCCCTCCCCCTCCTCCTCCTCCTCCTCCTCCTCCTCCTCCTCCTCCACCTCCGCCTCCTCCTCCTCCTTCTCATCCTCCTCGCCCACGTCCTCCTCCTCCTCCTCCTCCTCCTCCTCCTCAACCTCCACCTCCGCCTCCTCCTCAACCTCCTTCTCCTTTTCCTCCTCCTGGTCCTCCTCCTTCTCCTCCTGGTCCTCCTCCTTCTCCTCCTCCTCCCTCCCTCCTCCCCCTCCTCCCCGAGCCACGAGGCCTGGATGAGAAGCTCGTACTCGTGCAAATTCGTCCTCTCCTGGTTCTCGATGCCGGTGCGCTCCGCCGTGAACTTGTCGAGCAGCTTCTCCAGCATCTCGATGATGCCATGCGCGTGGAACTCGTAACCTCACTGCCCGCGAGGCCGCGCAGGCGAGTCGGAGCCAGCGACCGCGGGGCGAGGCCTAGCACGTCCGATCGCGGTGGGCACCGACGCGACCCTGACCGTCCACGCGAAAGGGCCAGACGGGCTTCCGCACCGTCCCTCCTCTCCACACCCCTCCTCCTCCTCCTCCTCCTCCTCCTCCTCCTCCTCCTCCTCCTCCTCCTCCTTCTCATCCTCCATTCTCTTCGTCCTCTGAACCCTCTGACTCCTCTGAGTCTTCATGCTCCTCATCCACCCCAACCTCTCCTCCCTCCTCCGTCGTCAGTCATAGCCCCTCCTCCCTCCTCCTCCTCCTCCTCCTCCTCCTCCTCCTCCTCCTCCTCCTCCTCCTCCTCTTCCTCTTATTATTGTTATTATTATTCTTCTTATTCTAATTCTTATCAGAATTATGATTATTAGTAGTATTCTTATTCATAGTCTTCTTCTTATTATGTTTCGCATTCTTCTTCTGCTGCTGATTATTATTCCCCCTCCTCCTCCTCCTCTTCCTCCTCCTCCTCCTCCTCCTCCTCCTCCTCCTCCTCCCACTCCTCCTCCTCCTCCTCCTCCTCCTCCCCCTCACCATCATCATCATCACCACCACCATCAGCATCACCAGCAGCATCAGCAGCAGCAGCATCAACAGCACCAGCAATATCAGCAGCAGCATTACCCATCACCACCACCATCACCATCATCAGCATCGTCAGCAACATCATCATCATCATCATCATCATCATCATCATCATCATCATCATCATCATCATCATCATCATCATCATCATCATCATCATCATCATCATCAACGTCACCCGCATCATCATGAGCATCATCACCACCACCACCACCATCGCCCGCATCATCACCACCACAAGCACCATCAACAGCATCATCATACTCACCATCATAATCGCCATTCTTACCATCAACATCATTCACCGCATCATCAGCAGCATACGCATCAACATCATCATCACCAGCATCATCATCATCATCACCATTCGTTTCATCATCAGCAGCATCATCATCAGCATCATCATCAACATCATCACCATCGCCATCATCATCATCACCACCACCATCATCATCACCACCATCATCCGCATCATCATCACCACCACAATTGGTAACATCATCATTAGCATCAACAGCATCATCATCAGCAGCATCGCCATCACCATCATCACCACCATCATCATGAAAAACATCATCGCCACCATCATCATCACCACCATCATCGTCAGCATCGGCATCATCAGCATTGTCATCATCAGCGTCACCCTCCTCCTCATCTTCATCCTCGCCATTTTCATCATCATCATCACAGCCATCACAAACCGCCCTTTTCACAATTGGCCACCATCGCCACCGTCATCGTCCTTCTCCCCCCTCAATACACAGCCGGGAGACAAGTTCTAACAAAATCATAAAGACGATCCTCTTGAAAGATTTGCACACGGCAACGCCCAAAAAGGATCATAAGTGGCATTCGCCTTTCAATGTTGACAGCGTGCGCGGGCGTGCACCACGGGCCAGGTCATTGATATGCCATGCTTTGGCTTGCGCGCCCAGTGGCGACACTGGGAGGCGGACGCCACTTAATGCCCGGGTGCTTTTCCAAACTAATCCTTCACAGGGCCGCTGGCGTGGGCGGTTCCACGTTCTGCCGCGCGACTTCGTTCCCGCAACCGGATGGCTAGCGTGCACCGCGCATTGCAGACGAGACGTCGTTCCTTAGCATTGCCAGGCCGATGTCGCTTCGTGCGACGGGCCCCGCCTGGTCTGATTCAACATCGTTTTGGCTTCCATCCTTGTGTCACTTTTGTTATAACCTTTTTTCACGGGGATGGGTCAATCTGCCCAAGTATTGGGTTTCCGCGCGATTCTTTCTCGTCTATTAGCGTGCCGCCTTGTGGGTCCTGTGGGACTTGTGGGACCTGCGAGACATGCGGGGTCTGGGCGACTTGCGGGATCGGTGGGTCTTGCGGGACCTGTGCGACCTGTGCGACCTGCGAGACTTGCGGGAGGCCTGGGGCCTGTAGGACTCGTGGGGCCTGTGCGAAACGTTAGCCATGTTAGGACCTGCGACACCTGCGGGGCCTGTAGGGCTTGTGGGAAACGTGGGGCCTGTGGGACCTGTGGGACATGTGGGGCGTGTGGGACCTCTGAAACCTGGGGGACCTGCGGGACTTGTGGGGCGTTGTCCAACAAACCGTGTTGACGATCCGGCGGGGGGGGGTTCTACTCTGTAAATGCACACACGGGATGCAGTCGAGGTTGCCCGGCAATCCCGCTTAACGATCGGGCGGGTGCGGGCTTGGTGTGTAAATTCATGCACAGAACGCACTTCGCGTAAACTGGCGTGCCCCGGCGTGCAAACTTGACGATTACTGTTTCGCGTTTCGTGTGAAAAAAAAGCGGGAAGCATCCATCGTAAACTGGGAAGTGCTTGTTAATAAAAACTAGAGCCTATTTTCTTTTAGATTCAAACAGTTCCACTATACGATGGATGCTTCCCGTCTTAATGTTTTCACACACGAAACGCGGAAACAAAATTATCCCGGCGAAGGGCCCAAACGCAGGTGTGGGTATCGTCCTCGGTGAACCTCCCTCTGAGACCACGATTCGTGTGACGGGTGTGCCAAAATTGGCACGGGTACGCCATGCGGACGCTGCCACAGGAGCCGTCGGTGCAGCCCCATCTGAGGCCACGAAACGCGTGAGGGGTGCGCCGCAATGCAGGGTGGAACCACGTGCAGGCGCTGCCACCAGGGCCTTTGGTGGCCGCGAAACGTGGAAGGGGTGCGCCGAAATGGAGGGGGAACTGCATGCGGAAGCTGCCAATGGGGCCCTAAGTGGAACACTCCATGGGGCCACGAAACGTGTGAGGGGTGCGTCGACATGGAGGGGGAGCTGCATGCGGACTTGCCACGGGGGCCTTGAATGGAGCAACCTATGGGGTAACGAAACGTGTGAGGGGTGCGCCGAAATGGAGGTGGAACTGCATGTGGACACTGCCACTGGAGCCTACGGCGGAGCACCCTATGGGGCCACGAAACGTGTGAGGGGTGCGCCGAAATGGGGATGGAACTGCATGCTGACCCTGCCACTGGGGCCTTCCGCGGAACACCCTATGGGGCCACGACACGTGTGAGAGGTGCGCCGAAATGGAGGTGGAACTGCATGCGGACCTTGCCACTGGGGCCTTCGGCGGAGCAACCTATGGGGCTACGAAACGTGTGAGGGGTGCGAGCCCGCCCCGCGCAGTCCGCCCGACAATGGAGGTGGAACAGCATTGCGAGGGCCATGTCACGGCGGGTCATCGGTGAACCACACCATGGGGCCACGAAACCGTGCTGAAGGTGCCCGACATGGGGATGGAACTGCAGGCGGACCCTGACATACTGGCCCCACTCCTTCGGCGGGAGCACCCTATGGGCGCCCACGAACAACGTCGTGACGGGGGAGCTGCGCCGGACTTTTCTTTTTTTTTTTTATGGGGGTGGAACCATGCGATGGCGTGGGGACCCTGCCACTGGGGCCTTGGGCGGAGCACCCTATAGGGCCACGAAATGTGGAAGGGGTGCGCCGAAATGGAAGGGGAACTGCATGCGGAACCTGCCACTGGGGCCTTGGGTGGAGCACCCTATAGGGGCCACGAAATGTGGAAGGGGTGCGCCGAAATGGAAGGGGAACTGCATGCGGAACCTGCCACTGGGGCCTTCGGCGGAGCACCCTATGGGGCCACGAAACGTGTGAGGGGTGCGCCGAGATGGGGGTGACACTGCATGCGGACCCTGTCACGAGGGCCTTCGGCGGAGCACCCTATAGGGCCACGAAACGTGTCAGGGGTGCGCCGAAATGGGGGTGGAACTGCATGCGGACCCTGCCACTGGGGCCTTGGGCGGAGCACCCTATATGGCCACGAAATGTGGAAGGGGTGCGCCGAAATGGAAGTGGAACTGCATGCGGACCCTGCCACTGGGGCCTTGGGTGGAGCACCCTATGGGGCCACGAAACGTGTGAGGGGTGCGCCGAAAATGTGGATGGAACTGACATGCGGAGCAATGCCACTCGAGCCTTGGGTGGCGCACCTATTGGGCCAGAAAACGGTGAGGGAGTGCGCGAAATGGAGGTGGAACTGCATGCGGACCCTGCCACTCGGGCCTTGGGTGGAGCACCCTATGGGGCCACGAAGCGTGTGAGGGGTGCGCCGACATGGGGGTGGAACTGCATGCGGACCCTGCCACTGGGGCCTTGGGTGGAGCAGCCTATGGGGCCACGAAACGTGTGAGAGGTGCGCCGAAAGATGGGGATGGACACTGCATTGCGACACCTCGCCACTAGGGCCTTGGGTGGGAGAGCACCCTATGGAGCACGAACACAGATTTGTAAATGGTTGGGTGAAACGCAGGAAGGAGGGAGGAGAGGGAGGAGGAGGGAGGAGGGGGGAGGGGAAGGAGGGGCAGCGGGAGGAACGGGCGGTAGGGAACGCGGTCCTTATCGAGCCGGCGCCCAGCCCTCCTTGCTGCAGCATGCGTCCCCGGTGGTGCCGCTTGGTGCGTTGACTGGGCGCCCCCCCGTGTTCGGATGACGAGTGGTCTATTTTGGCCCGAGTGGCGTTGGAAAGGTTGGCCCTGTTTTCTTTTTTTCTCTTTGTCGATAGATCCAGACTTGTCGTTATTTTGCAGCCATAATAAACTTTTTCATCCTACAGTTTTCGGTCTTCTATATTCTCTTCAAAACGAAGACCCAACACCACAGGATGGTTGGGAAAAATCGTAAAGTGTGCACGCCGGGGCACGCCACTTTACGCGAAGTGCGCTTTGCGCATGAATTTACACACCAAACCCGCACCCGCCCGATCGTTAAGCGGGATTGCCGGGCAACCTAATCTGCATCCCGTGTTTACATTTACATAGTAGAACCCGCCCCCCGCTTGATCGTCAACACGGTTTGTTGGACAACGCCCCACAAGTCCCAC